CAGGGTGTGAAGGGTGCAATGTGAGGAGGAAGAGAGCTTCGGAGCTGAAATCATCACCCAACCTGAGTCAAAAGGCTCCAGTTCTGGCAGGGGCAATCCATAGGTGCAATGAACCAGAACAACACGGCAGCCGAAGCAGGTCCCGAAACCAAGCAGCAAGCACAAGGAAGCTGGAGAGAGCAGCAACAGAGGAAATGGGATGGGCACTGACAAGACCAGAACAGAAAAAAACCCCATGTTTGTTTGTTTGTTGTTTGGGGTGGTTTTTTCAGGGGAGTGGGCACGTACTTGTGTCCCAAACACCAAATTCTCCCAACACCCACCTTAAACTCAGAAAAAGAAAAAAAAAAACACAACACAAGATTTTTTTTTGGCCAGCAGCCAGCTGCCCGGCCACAGAACACAAAGCCTGGCTTAACCTTGCCTGGTGCCAAAGCCCCGGGGAGCAGCTCAGATCGTGAGAGATGGAGGAAAACACCACCCCGGCAAGGGACATGCAGCAGGCAGAGCCACCACCAAGTGACACCAACAGGAAGGTCCTTTGCTTGCTGCAGTCAGAGCAGAAGGTGTTGCCCCAAGATGAGTTTATTTTCCAACAGAAATCAGATTAAAACAACAGGTGACAACAGACCCAGCAGCAGTTAAATGGAGATGCCAGCTCAGGCCAGCACTGCTGTCCCTGCTGGAGGGGACACGGGGGTACACAGCCCATGGGCTCAGCCATTGGAGCCCCAGGCTTCTCTTCTCCAGAATAAACTCTGCTTAAGTCCCCCAGGCTTGTTTCCCAGCCCTTCCAGCTACCTTCTCCCGCTCCTCTGGACTCTGTGACGCAGGCAAGACCTGGCTCCTGTTCTTGTTCACGTTGAGTTAACGAGTCTGCATGGCTGTATGTGTTATTCCCTAAAGACACATTTTTATCCAGCCCAGGTACTGAGGCTTCCAGCCTGAAGCAGCTGGAAAGAGGAAACATCACAAATCTGTACAGTACAGAGTGCTGGAGCCAGGGACCTCCCTGAGTCTGCTCTGAGCAGCTCAAGCAGCCCCACTACAGCCCTGGGGCGAGAGATCTCCTGCCCCACATCTCCCGCTGAAGAACCCCAGAGGAGGTTCACCTCCATCAGTTACCCCCTCCCCTCAGGGGAGCCATTCTCCAGCACATCTTCAGGCCCTTCCAAAGCCTCAAATTGCCAGGCAGACCAATTTCAAGAGAACAAACCCCCTTACAATCCCATTAGAAAAACATAAATACAAATGCATTTCACACCAACACATGCCAAGAACAGAGATCAGCACACTGATCTCCCTGTTTCCAAGACAGGCAGGGGGACACCCCAACACCCTCCTTCCCCAGTCAATTTCAGTGCCAAATCTGCAAAAATACAGGGGACTTCATGGCCCAAAACAGGGCAAGGCAGAGCATCCCCCAGGCTTGTCTGTGGGTCTCACTGCAAGAGGAAAGATGTTTAACTGGACGATGCACATACAGCCACCCTGCAGCAACACAGGCCAGGGCTGCTCTGCCGTAAGCACACTTTTTCCTCCAGGAAACTTTCTTTGAACTATTTATACCAGGCGTAGAGCTGGCCCAGGGCCCTTCTCCCTGCTCCTGCTCCAGACTGACATCCCAGATCCCCATCCCGCATCTCCAGCTGGCGGCTGCATCCAGCAGCGCAGCTCCACCTGATGTCTGAGAGCTCAACAGCAGCAACTGCAGAGCTCTGAGCAGGCCAGGAGATGAGAAAACCCTGTTTATTCTGCATGAAAATAGGAGGAGGGAGGGGTAAAATGAGGGGGGAAAACCAGTCCAAGCAATAGCCAGGGGGACTTGGTCTCCTGGAGCTTGCTGCAAACCCAGGATTGTCCCCAGGGCAGCCCGTCTCACCCCAGGGCAGCACCGGTACTTGGCAGACAGCCCTGCGCAGAGGTTCCACGTTGCTCCATGCCAGGCCCTGGGTGATCGCGTTCTGCCCTGCGGCCACCCTGCCCAGTTGCTCCCCGGGAAGGCAGGGGCTCACTGCAGGAAACTGTCCAGTCTGGCTTGGCTGCTGCTGGAGGAAGAAGCAGAGGGAGCCGCAGACACAGACCTGGAGACATTCTTCTTCTTGCTCCTCACTGCTAACGGACGGATTTCCGCCAGGTTTGTCTGAAGGTAAAAGCGTCAAGGAAAGTACAGACTGATGTCCTGGGACTCAAGTGATCCGATACCTGCTGCACCCCAGCCTGAACTGCAGACCTGGGACCTGGCCATACATTTGCACCCACAGAAAAAGTCCCTGAAAGACAGGCTGGGCTTTGCCCCTACTCCCAGCAGCAGAGCTCAGGCATGCTCCTGTCCCATGAGTCAAGGAATGCTGCTCACTTCTGTGCTACCCCCGGCACACAAAACAGTGTTCAAGCACATCCATCAGAGCTTTGATATCCATCCTGCGTGTCAGAGCCAGGAGACTGTGCAGGGAAAGGCACAGCAGGCACAGCCCGCAGCCTCCCAGAGCTGGGCAACCCCAAGAGAGAAGCCCGTAGAGCAGCAAGTCCCTCTGAACCCACATGCCATTCAGACACCCAAGTGGTACAAACAAAACCTGCAGCACTGAAAGGCAGGTGCAGGCCGTGCTAGCAGAACCGCAGGGTGACACAAACCAGCACAACTGCAGCACTCGGGCTTAGCAAAAGGAGCTGCTCCTCCATCAGCCGTGTGTGTGAGGCAGCACGGGGGCACCTTCACCTCAGGCCAGCAGCACGGGCACTGCTGGCTCCAGAGATCTGCTCAAGCATCTCCTTGCTGTTGGGCACCTCCACCCTGCCACAGCAAGGCCACAGGAACAGCAGCACAAGGCTTCCCAGCAGGTTACACCTTCTGGCTGATAGCTGCTTCTCTGCTTCAGCCTCCTGGTTTTCTACAAGAGCTAAAAAACCTCTGAAAACCAGCACCAGGAGCTCCAGTGGTGTCAGAGCTGTAGATGCAGCACACACCCCTGTGAAAGCACTACCTGGGGAGGGCAGGCAAGGGACAGCCTCCTCTGCAGGGGAGGGGACACTGCTCCTGCATGCGGAGTGGGGGGTCAGAGGAGCTCCCCACTTGTGGGGTGAGCTCAGCCCAGCCACTCCTCGCTTGCTGCAGGGCTGCCTAGCAGGACAGGCACAGCAGAGCAGCAGTGTCCTGCAGGAACGAAGGCTTAGGCTGCACGGGCTGGCAGCGACACAGCCAGAAAGGGGCTGCACTGCTGCTCAGAGAGCCCAAGGGCACAGGCAGCCCCTGCAAATTGCACTGATTTCTAGCTGATACGCTGCTCTGGGTGACCCACCACTGATAACGCTCTCAGTGAGTTCAGGTTCTTGATGCCTTTGCTAAGCTCAGACTTGTTCAGAGTCAGACAGAGAGAAATCTGATGGTTCCTTCAGGATCCCAGCCCATTTGTGGTTGATGAGGGGGCAGGACTCCCCAGGATGGCTGAGACAGAAGAGGAGGAACAGAGGTGAGGTCCCCACTACTGCCATGCGAGCTGCAGGAAAGGATACAGGCTGGATGAACTTTGTTCTGCCTCCCAAGCCATTGTACCCCACCCTCACCTAGGAGAGAGAGAGAGAGAGAGAGAGAGAGAAATGAGCCTGGAGCAGCAGCACCAGAGCCTTGGCTGCCTCTCCTCATGTGGGTGATGGGGAAGGGGGAGCCTGGCAGGCCACAGGTTCTGAGGAGGGGTTACAAGCACCAGGAAACACTCACTACTGCTAAGCCCTGACCTTTGGAAAAAGGCAGACCCAAGGGTATTAGTAAAGTTTGGGTATCTTGGGCACTTTCTTAAGTAAGTTGAGCCTTCCAAGCAGTGGGAAGGCTTAGGAGTTTGTCACTGGGATGGAGGAATATGAGGAAAAGACCCAAAGCTCCAAGAAGGTGGAGGAATGGGACATGGAGGTCTATTTAACCTACTGCCATGAAGGGAATGAGCATCTGTCATCCCTGGAGCTCTGCAGGACTGGGAAATAGCCAGGTTGTCCTCCAAGATTTATTTTCTGCACACCCTACGTGGCAAGATAAAAGCCTCATTGGCTTCCTCCTGCAGGGTCACTTCAGGACAGAGGCGTGCAGTGCCAGCCCTCGACAAGCTCACCAACCAGACAGTCATACTCACAGTGCCCACGTTCTTGTGGGGACCCAGCAAGCTCCCCGAAGATGGCTTCTTGGAGAGGACAGAGTTTCTGATGAAAGCTGGCAAGAGTCCTTTAAGAGCATCATCCTCCAGATCATCTGCCCAGTTCTGTCCCACAAAATGATGAGAAAAGCCCTTTAACCAGCATGACCTGCTGAATTTAGTCCACACACAGAGAGCACTAATAACACAGACAGCTATTTGGGGTAATAATCACTGCCATACCATCACTGCCATACCACACGTCAGGCCAAAGAACAGCAGCTTCAAACCTCCCACTGGGGCTCACGTGGAGCAGTGCCTCAGAGGCAGGACACTGCACCCAGCCAGGCTGGGAACACAGCTCCCTTGGCCCCCCACAGTCCTTTGTAGTCAGCCCCACGATGTGTTTGCCAAGCACATCTGAGGCAGGATAATCAGCAAACAGCACGTGAGTCCCCATCCTCCCTCTCCTGCCCAGCTCCGGGATGCCCGAGGCAGCAATACAGTGTTTCTAGGAGACTGTCAAGCAAAGCACTTTGAAGCATGTACTGTGGTTCTATAGATGGGCCAGTCAACAGTCACAGCATCTCCTACATGGAGAAAATGGGTCCTTTATCCCAGGCTTATTAAGAGCAGAATCAAAGAAGTGATACAGAAAAATCAAGATTAGTCCTTTTACCTCCACTGTTTCCTTCAGAACTTTCTTCGCCAGATTTACCACGGGAGGCCTGTAAGAACCCCAAGGAACAAATCAGCAGAGATTTATTGTTCAAGTGCAGCTGGCAAGGACAGACAAGGCCAAGCGAATGACGACAAAACTTGCAGCACAACATCAGACAGCTGGAGAGCTATCTGATCTCACGCAGCAACTTCCAAAGCAGCACGACTTTGATCTCCTTTAGAAGCAGAAGGAGGAGGGAAAACTCACGGCTTTTTATCCAGCTTCTGCCTTTTTGCAGGGTTGGAGAGGGATCTGCAGGGTTGATGCTCGGGGGTGTCCACATCAAAAGCAGCATCTAGGTTGATCTCATCGCTGTGGGCCGGGCGGTGGAGCTTCGGGTGCTGCAGTTCCACAGGAGCAGGGCTGCAAGGCCATGCAAAGTGTCAGCCATCGGGACGTCACCGCCTGCCATCCAGCAGACGAGAGGAAGACAGAGCTGCACACTATGTGATTAAGACGTAAGGCAGCAGTGGGACCATGATCAGAGCCCCTTTCTGCGTACAAATTACAGAAAGGACAATCCAAATCCCAGTTGATAGTCAATGTCCCAAACTACTATTCACCCTCGAATGGCCTGTGCTATAACAGCAGCACAATGCTGCTCTGTGTCCACAACCCACCTTGCTGCACTGGGGTAACAGCACAGGCTCCTCCAAAGAAAGGGCTTGATAAAAATGTAAAATATGCCATTTTTCAGGCTAAGTTCCTCTGCCTGGCAATGATCTCCAGTCCCCATACACCAGGGCACACTCACTGGAAGGCCGACTCTGAGGCACGCAGAACAGCTTCAGGGGTATTTCCCTGGCAGGACATAGTGGCAGAGAGAACCAAACCCTCCAAAACACACACTTATTCCAGGTAAACTAACCACTGTCTTGTCAGCAAGAAGGAAAAAACCAAAATAGGATACAAGGAGTAAGATAACTGCGCTAGTGCAATACCTGCCAGACTAGCACATCTCTGCCTCCCCAGCTAGTTAAACTGTCAGCTCTTACTTTGGACCTGCCACCTCCATCCTTAGCCTGTGTCTGAGGATGCGCTTCACTAACCTTTCAAGGACTAGTCGACTGAGTGTCTCTCTGGTTACAGATGGGACTTTCAGAGTATCCTGCAGGATGTCTATCTTCTTCTTCAAACTCTGGAGGGAAAGGGGAAAGCAGACAGCATGATAAGGAAAGATTAAGTAGCAGATACTTTTCCCCCTTTCCGTAAATCAGCATCAAGTGGAGCTCACAGGTGGGGCAGATGAGAGAGGTAGGGTGGGCTGGGTAACCTAGCTGCTGAGCAAGAGCCAGCATAACTCCTGTCTTTGCAGCTGCAGGCCATGGCCAGCTGCCAGTTACTGCAGACAGAGGAATTATATTCTCACCAAGATCTCCTTGTCCGCATTCTTCAGATCCTTCTGGGTGCTTTTTAACTCCTCCTCTGTCTTCTCCAACTCCGACACGGTTTTCTGCAGCTGCAGAAGAAACACCCCCAAACAGCAGAGTGCTGGTTACAACCCGTAGGTACGGGAGGCTGCAGATCCCCCACAAGAGCAGTATGTTCTGCAGCACATGCTACTTTCCTCTGTTCCAGGGCTCAGTTTTCCTGTGGGAGTCTGACCAATCTCTCCTGTATCAGAGCAATGCAATGCCTGCCCATTTCCTCCAGCTGCCTGCAGAGGGATCTCCAGGGCTGCTTGCCCAGCACAAACCTTCCTACAGCATTTCCCCAGCATTTATACCTGATGGTGACAGCTTTTTCCTGCTTTAACGCTTGGTGGCTGCATTCTGAATTCCTGCGGGACTTTGGACACACCAGAGGACAGGAATTACAACCCACAGGCTGGAGGATGGTTGTGCATCAGCAGCGCTGGCACACGGACAAGCCTGATTCAACAGGGAAGCATGCCAGGAGCAGGGGTCGAGAAGCAGACTGCCACCACATCAGAGACTTCTGCAGGTCCAGGACTCTGGGCCAGCCCACGAAGCATTGGTACAGTCAGCTCTCCATCAGCCCAGCCTGGAGCCCTGAGAGCACTGACTCGCATCCTTCCTGACCAAAGCCGGGGATTGCAGTTTGGCACTGGCTCAGCCAGAAGCAGGCTGATTCCAGCAGCAGCACCTTTTGTAGGGGGTTAAATTGCTTGGGGAGCAGCACAGCAATCCGAGAACCTTCCTCTCCATTTGAGGGCACAACAACGGCTACGACTGGTAACAAAAATAGGCCAAATCCACCCACAGTCTCCCACTTTGTGAGCCTGGAAGCGGGCATGCCCCCAGGAACACCTGCATGCTGGAGAGCAAGGCTACACACACACTCTTCTCACAGGGACTTGTACCAGAACGGCCAGAAAGTGATTCCAGCCAGGCCTGGAGCAGGGGGAGCACAGCCACACAGGCATGTCAGCAGCTCCAAGCTCTGCACCAGGTCAGGACCAGCCACCTGTGTGTCCTCCCCACACCTCGGGGACCTCTCCTGCCTGGGCCCAGTTCAGTCGGCTGAAGGCACAAGGCTGGGTGTGACTGCAGTTGTGCCAAGGCAGGGCTAAGCCCTGCTCAACCGCTGCTAGCTCCAAACCCCTTCCCACCTTTCCTCAGGCCCAATTCTGTATCAGTGCGGGGCTGGCAGCTGAGCTAGCTCCTGCTGGGCAGTGTGGCAGGATGAAGGCAGTGCTGCTTCCAGAGCCCAGCAGAAGCAACGGAGCACCTGCGTGCTACTGCCTTCCAGCCCAGGCTCCCGGCCAAACCACGGCTGGCTCTGAACACGTTGCCTGGGCAGTGTCCCTGGAGACTGCACTCCTGACAACTGCCCATGAGCTGCTAACTCACCGCAGCATCGTGCCCTGACCCAGAAACCCCAGCCTGGCACTTCCACACCACCCCTACCACTCGAGTAGTGCTCAGCATGGGTGGGAGTCACTGCAGAGGGCTTGGGGGACAGTTATCGACAGGGATCTACAGACCAGATGTCATCCTGGCTTCCTTTACCTTGCTATTGAGAGAAAACAGCTCCTTCTTTAGCTTCTCTGTCATCTCACTAGAGATCTTCCGAGCCTCCTTCAAGTTTTCATATTCCCTGCAAAGAGACAAGAAGAGTCATGCTGTTTGCAAGAGGATTGAGTTACCACCTTTCAGAGACAAGCCAAGACCCTTTAATTAAAGTTCTGCAACTGCAGAGCCACCAGAGAAAACCCAGGAGATGCAAAGCCCTTCAGGGAACAGAGTTGGGTGTACCAACACTGACCAACAGTGTGTCAAACATACTGCTACACCACGGTGGAGAAAAAAAGCTGCATGGGACACCATGCCCGAGAACAGGGCATGAACAGAATCCACCAGCAAAATGGAAACCGGATCCAGAGACATTTCAGTTGTCGATGGAAAAGACAGACAAGAGAAGCCTCCGCGCTGGCAGCAAACAGAGGACTTTGCTTTAGGCGACTTTTCAGAGAGTTCACACTATTGGTGAGGCACATTCATTCCCAATTACACCACAGGGACACTTGCCTCATTACAGCTTTGTATCACAGCTGCAATTATTCAGCTGCCATCAGAACAGACCTAAAGAAGCTGTGGTTTTGCCCAGCAGGACCAGATGGATTTCCAGGTAGGAGAGGGCAGCACTGCAGACTCGCCTTGCTGGAGAGCACTCGAGGCCACAGCTGCACAGTGCAAGGCAGCTGAGGGTACAACCCGGAGCCCCTCATCCACTCATTTTTCCCCAGGCATGAGAGGAGAACGAACGGAACAATAAGCATCACCTCACAGGTGCACTGACAACTCTGGAGACAGTTCCCATGGTGACACGCGTGACACTACAGTGACAATAGGAACAGTTCAGTGTGACGGGCTCCAATCTAGGTCCCCAGGATCTGTCAGTCAAAACCCAGTGGAGGCCCAAACAGGCAGTGATAGCCCCGCAGAGCCTGTGTGCCTGCCAGCACTGGGCAGAAGGTTCTCCCTGGGCACACGCAGGACAGCATGAACTGGCTGTGCCGAGGCTGCAGCACCTACTTTTTCAGCGAGACGCAGTAGATCGCAAGCTGTTCCACTGCTGCCTGCCCCACTCCCATCTCTCTGATCATCTCCTCCACTTCAGGGCGCTGGCTCTGAAGCAACAGCTCAATCCTGCACAAAAAAATAAAAGTACCCTCAGCTCGTGAGTCACCAGCAGAGCTGGGGAAGAGACCGGAGCCCTGCTTCCCCCCGAGGAGCTGGTGCAAGCTAAGCTCCTGCTGTGCAGGCACTCTGGATGTCGCGGGGGAAGAGACACGACTGCCCCACCACCAGCAGGGCTTTTTGCTAGGGAACAGTAGCACTATATGGACAGTCTAGAGGAGGGGCAGCTGCACACACACACGCTGCACATAGGGCCAACATCCTGGCTCTTGGCCCCTATAGCCCTGAGGCTGACTGCTCCTGGGCTGGGATTTTGCCCCAGAGCCCCCTGATAAGAGGAATGGAACAGCACATTGCCACGCTCAGAGCCCTAGAGATGCAGCCAGGCTGCACGCAGTACCACGGCTTGCTGCTGTTTGGGGAGGGCAGCTGTCGGGGCAAGAGCACGGACAGGCAAGGGCCCCCCTGCTAATGCAGCAGTTCCCACCTTACGGGGTAAGCTGACCCGGCATGTGGAGGTGGATGTTGTGGCAGGCACAGCAGGACCTCTGCCTCCCTCTCTGAGAAGGGGAGAGGCACGCAGCCCAGCCCGCGAGGCCCAGGATCGCCCCAAATCTCACCGCTCCATGGTTCTCAGCTTGTTTCGCAGGCGGCGGGCCTCCTCCTTTGAACTTCTGTTATCCTCCTGCTGCTGCTCCAGGAATTTCATCTGCTTCTGCAGAGAAGCAAGCACATGCAGACCGTTAGGAAGGCTCCAGAGATTGTTAGAGAAACATCCTGGCTTATGCGCACTGCGGGCAGCTGGGAGCACACATTGGCTCTTAATGCTATCAGCACCTCAGCAGCCCAGGCTTACGGAGAGTTTCACTCCCTCCCCGCTGCACCCCTCGCTCTGCTCTTTGCAAGCGCAGCATGGTCTCAGCGCTAATTGCAAGACAAGTCTGGCGCTGAAACTGCATCGCAGCCTCCTTTCTGCTGCGCAGTGCCCTGTGCATGGCGACAATTTGTTTTTCAAGAGCAAGAAGGGTCCACAGCCCGCAAACCTCGCTATTGCTTCCTCCTCCATGCACAGCCGATCCCTTTGCTTTACCCTCCCAATTCTCCTTGCCGTTAGCTGCTTGGAGCATAAATCGGAATGATTTAATAAATCAAAAGGGTGGGTCTCTTCTGAGAGGCTTCAGCCAAACCAGACACCCACCCGGGCACTTCTCTCACCTGCCTGGAGGGGCTGCAAGCCTGCAGCAGCCATCGCCTTCCCAGGCTCTCCAGCAGCAGGCAGCAGCAGTAACGGCAAACCTCAGCTGAGCTGAAAAAGCACAGCTCTGCGGTGTGGCGGGGGAGAGGGGAAAGCTGGCCTGAATTAGATCTGTGTTGTCTAGGTTTGTGTGTGCCTGGGTACCTCACACAGCACCTTCAAAAGGCTCTGGGACTGGTTTCAGCACAGTGCTGACTCCAGGGAGCGGCCTGGCCAAAGACCATCACCTCATAAAGCTCCCTTCTGTGCACAAATTGAAGGATTTTATCCGCTTCCTGCCACAGAAACCAAACAGCTGTCTGTGAAGCTGCTGGGACTTCGCAGAGGGACAGCGTGGCAGGCTCACGTGTTGCTCTTGCTTAAGCAGAGCCCTTCTTTGGCTCTTCCTGACCAGAGCTCTCTACGCGTCAGATCCCCAGAGCAGGGGTTTGTGCCAGGCTGGAGCAGAGCCCCTGCCCTCAGACCGCCTGAAATGGCAGCAAACTCTCACGCAAAGGTTAAGCAGCAGACGGCAGGGCTAGCAGAAGACAGGAAGGGCTCGCAGCCTGTGGGCTTGACCTGCGTCACAGCTAGTTAAGCCTGTATTTTCACTGCAGAAGTTTAGTGCTTTAATCTTTAATGATGCAGTATAAGACAGCACTTGGCTTTCAGCTGGAAAACCCTGTACACCACAGAAAAGATACCTCCAGGTCCCTATTCCTTCTGCCCTGCCCAGCTTTCATTAAAAGGACTTAAGCACACACAAAGGGTTTTGCAACAGGCAAGATAACCACAGAGCCTCCTCCTGAGGTGCCAAGGCAGGAAAGCCAAGCACAGAGATGTTGAGTTGAACAGCAAGCACCAGCTTCCACTGTCATAATTGTTTCTGCAGGAGTAGGGAGCACCAGAAGTATCCTGCCAATGGTACACCTGGAATCCCAGGAGCATCTCTGGCATGGTACAGACCCCGGCTGCATTTACACCCAAGTAGACTGGAAATAATCCCATGGTCAGGCAAAAAAAGTTGTGCTGGCTCACAGCAAGGCCTGTCTGGCATTAATTCCTTACGACGTCTCTCCTCCTGCCCTATGACAGCACCCCATGGCTAGTGTCAGGCAGACCTCCCAGACTGGTTCCTCTCAGGAAGAGCCCAGCTGCGGGTGGCACACAGCAAGACAACCCCACGGCCCCAGTGCATGCACTCCCTGGGCCAAGGAAGAGTTTAGGCCGTTGGGTCAGACCTGTAGTCCAAGGAGCAGATATCTTGGGCAGTGCAGATGACCCCTACGCTGCCTTCCAGCCTCCAGCTTACAACCCCTTCTTCTTGTGACAGGCACGTCACCGTCACACAGTGGGGGCTGTCCAGCCCAGCCCACCACCCAAGGCAGAGCCGCTCCGCTCGCTACAAGACATCCCAACAAAGCTCTCACCCTCTTCCACTCACTGTTTATGCACAGTACATGACTGCACGCTGAGTCACTGCACGCTGAAACACAACAGGAATATTTGATCCCTGGACTTCAGACATCACTAACCTAACCGAAGGAAAGCCCTGGCAACAGAACAGAGGCAGGAGAGTTAGCTGGATCAAATCCCACTCAGATGAAGCTTGCAACTCCCCCTCCATATATTTCAGTTTGATTTCTCCTCCAATCAAACTAAGAAACTAATTTTCCTTGAATCCCGCCTGGCCTAAACCCATTTCAGAAGAACATTCTACCGCAGGGAGCCAGCGTGTCGGCAATGGGGCGCTGGGGCCAGCTCGCACTCTCGGTTTATGCTGCTACCTTTATCATCAGTGCTGCCACTTCATTAGCACAGCTCAGCCAGCATCCCCCAGGCTGGGCTGGCGTCTCTCCCCCACTCTGGCCACCTCTGCCTTAACCACGCAGAGTACACAAGCCACGGGCCTGGCTTTTCTGCCTCTGAATCACCCCCAGGTGGAGTGTGCTCAGGACCTCAAGAGCAAGATGCCACTTGCTTCAAATTCATAAAACCAAAGTGAAAACCCAGCTACATTGCCCTTCTGGTATTCAGAGATTGAGGATACAGGAGTCTCAAACCACCAAATACAAAATCCCAGCAGCACAATGTCTTTATTAGCAGGGCCTGCAGAGATCTTCAACAAAGCTAACACCAACTGGGCAACAATTAGCGCTGAAATCCTGCCAGGGGCGGGAAAGGTACCTTGAGAGAGGAGCACAGCATCTCTGTCTCTCCCAGCACCTTCTGGAGCGACTCTATTGTGGCATTGCGCACATCCAGAGTGTCCCTCAGCCCATCCACAACAGCCTGGCACTCCCGCTTTTCTTTCTCTGCAAAAGAAAAAAAGAAAAAGGCCATGGCCCAGTAACCCAGACTTGAGCTGCCCACAGGAGCAGCAGCCCAACAAACAGACACAGCTGGCAGTCTCAGGCTCCAGGCTGCCAGGAGTTGGCCATTTCTGCAGAGAGACATTTCACAGAATCACAGAATGGTTTGGGTTGGAAGGGACCTCAAAGACCATCCAGTTCCACCCCCCTGCCATGGGCAGGGACACCTCCCACCAGCCCAGGTTGCTCAAAGCCTCATCCAGCCTGGCCTTGAACCCCTCCCAGGGATGGGGCATCCAGAGCTTCTCTGGACAACCTGGGCCACTGCCTCACCACCTGCACAGGAAAACATTTCTTCCTAATATCTGACCTAAATCTTCCCTCTTTCAGTTTAAAACTGTTAACCTTGACCTGCTGGTCACGCTTCTTCTGATAGAGCCCAGGACAGTTGGCTTTCTAGGCTGCAACCACACATGGCCAGCTCACGTTCAGCTTCTCATCTACCAACACCCCCACGTCCTTCTCCTCAGGGCTGCTCTCTATCCATTCTCCACCCAGCCTGTGTCTGTGCTTGGGATTGCCCCAACCCACGTGCAGGACCTTGCACTTGGCCTTGTTGAACTCCATGAGGTTTGCACAGTCCCACCTCTCCAGCCTGTCCAGGTCCCTCTGGATGGCATCCCTTCCCTCTAGCACGTCGACCGCACCACACAGCTTGGCGTTGTCAGGAAACTTGCTGAGAGTGCACTTAATCCCACCATCCATGTTGCTGCCAAAGATGTTAAACAACACTAGTCCCAATATCAACCCCTGCGGAACACCACTCATCACCAGTCCCCAAGTGCTGTCTGCACCAGGGTCTGCACTGAGCAATTGCTTCTCTCTGTGCCAGCAGGATTCTTCACTAAAGATAACAAGTTCCTTTTAATAGCTTTCCAGTACCAGCCCTGCTAGCATTAAGCTGATGCATCTTAACTCTTGCATGCTCTCAAAGCCAGGCTTGCAAAAGGAAAACATTTCAAGTCACACTGAGCTGTGACAGAGCTGGAAAGCAGAGCCCCCAGCCCATCCTCTCAACACGGAGCCTTACATGTGGGGAAGCCCTTCGGGGGCCATCAGGCAGCTGCGTACAGCGATCCACCACCACGCTGCTGCATCACCACGCTGCTGCACCTACCCTCACCACGGCACCTATGTTGAAGGGCAAGAGGCAGCAAAGCAAGAGCTCCAGTAAAGCCTGGGGACTTCACAGGACATGCAACAGCATAAGTAGATTCTCCAGAGCGCCCACTTTTTGCAGGTCATGAAACCTTTGAGACCTGCTCGCCCTCCCCACGCAAGCAATCCAGGAACAACACATGCCTCTGACCACCAGGGAGGTGGTGGAAACCAACAGCAGATTTCAATTTGTTTTGTGGAGACAAGGGAAGAACAGCTCACAAAGCAACAACCATCACCAGGAGCTGACAGACTTAAGCAGGGAACAGCCAGCATTACTGGAAAGCTCGAAGCAGTTGGGCAGCGAGGGAAAGCAGCAAGCCTAACCCTGCTGAGAGCAGGGTAAAGTCTCCAGCTCACCATCTTCTGGCTTTGCTAGAATTGTGCATGGCTCCAGCCTGATGGTAGTGGAGAGCTAGTCAATGCCTTTCCAAAAAGCTGTTTCTCCTTGCAAGCAATCCAGTTTCAAACTGTGCCACCGTTTCCCACAGAAGCATGACCTGCAGTGCAGCTTCACCGCTTGATCAGACAGTAAAGGAGCCACACGGGACTGGGGAAGAACAGAAGAACATATCCCAGCAGCAGCACGCAGGTGGCTAGGGACACGCAGATTTCTTTCCGAGTAGAGCATTTTTTCTCCATTGATCTGAATAACCTTTCCTCACCAGAGGCAGCACGGCCTGAAGATGCTCCCCTGCATTTGCAGGGACTTCACATCCCCCAAAAGAGTCAGGGCTTCCCCTCCTCCGTTCCCAGTTGCCCAGAGGCAGATGGCAGGAGTCAAACCTCCCCAGGCTGCAGGAATGAGTTTCCAGCTCATTCAGTGCCTCCCACAGCGCCTGCGGGGTCTGCTGAGAGCTCCGCACCTCCAGAGCCTTTTGCAGCTGATCAGAGACTGGCAATTACACAGCTCCTCTACAGCACGCAGCACAGAGCACCGTCTTCAAGCGAAGAATTTATACACATGAACCACCAGAGAGCAGAGTGCCCACAGCAAAGGAAGCAGGAGGTAGGAAGGAGCTTCTCGTTTCCAATACGAGCAGAGAATGGGACAGGGAATGTCAAATCCAACCTCTACTCACCAGAAGCCGAGAAGATGAGCAGGCCTTCGAGCAGTTTTTCTTGGATAACATCCTAGCAAGAATCCCAGCCACCTTCCCCAGAAGATCTGGCTCTCTACCAAGTTACTAAACTCAACCAAGCTGGCAAGAGAACAGGCCTCAGAATAGAGACGTGCAGACTGTCCAATTCTGCTCTCAGGCTAGGGACCGAATCCTCAATCTACTGGCTATTCATGTCTGTCTCGTGCACGCAGGGAAAGCAGAGGAAAAACGCCTCTCGGGGCGTGGGTGAGCCCCCAGCATTCTTTAAAGATTTTTTTTTCCCCTTCTGCTAGTGTGTCTTTGGATTTCTGTCACTCAGACTGACATTTTCCTTTCGCTGCTCATGACTCATGTTCTGATGACAGGCTGCCTACAGACGATGCTTAAAACCCATCGACAAGTCTCCAGGGCTTTTGCTTTTCCTGCCTCCCTCAAACATCCTCTAAAATTAAAGATGGGAAAATGGAAACGCACACACTGAACTCCGTCTGCTCTTCACGCAACACATGTGGCACTGCAAGAGCCAAACAAATCCAAAGCCTTCCCACTGCTGCTTTTGGGCACCACTTTTACCCCCTCATCTGTTAGAAGGAACAAGCCTTTGCCACATACAGCTGTGAGCTTCCCAGTGAGCAAATCAAGGGTTTTGCTTTCAGCAAGCCTGCTCCAGCTAGAGCTGTGCTGTACTCTTGTAGCTTGTGATTAGGAAGAGGGGCAAAAAAATTGCATATTTGCCTCTAAACTTGGAGAGAGCTCCCCAGTTACAGCAGAGCTGGGGCAGGCTGCTGACTCCTTCTCTGTCAGCTGTAGGTAGTCTGGCTTTGGAAAAAGCTCTGAAGAAGCTGCTCCAGCAGAACAGTTTGCAGCCTGCAACACGCCCTCAGCTTCACAGAGGGGTTCCTCAGGCCTGGCCAGAGCCCCTAGCACACACAGAGCCCAGGACCCGCCGACTGCAGGCTGCCGATCCCCCACCGGCAGCTGGAACTCACCTTTCATGGACAGCTGAGCCTTCACCTTGTCCAGTTCATTCTGAAACACAACACGGAAACCTTGATTAGGAAACGCCCTGCAGAGGAGCTTCCGCCAGATCTCAAAAGGACCCAGGAGGTTTCCCGGTAAGACATTTGCATGGCCAGGGGCTAAGAAGGGAACCAGCAAGTAACTATCACAGGGAACGCAAAGAGCACCTCCAACTGGCATTCTGCAGGGAGAGAAGATCCCAGTTTTGTCTTAGCCTTGTCAACCTTGTGTTTCTCACACTGTCAGTCATCTTGTTTTAGCTGAATAATTTTGGAAGGCTCTCAGGGAAACACAGGAAATCAGACAGGAGCAATTTTGATACCGTTTTACCTAAACAAGGCAATAAGACGGGGATGTTGCCAGACTAACTGGATTGAGAGTCGCTTTGAACTGAAGTGAACTTCCCTCAGGTGCAAGTGGGAGACAGGAGGGCATGTCCAAATGTCTGCAAAGGTATCCAAGAATACAATCAAAAGGCATCAGCCAGCATTGTGACGGACACTAAAGTCACTGCAGTTGAGGATGCTGATATGAGCTAACAGCTCAGTCAAATGGCCATAAACAGATCCCCAATAAACCAATCCAGACCAAACCGCGGGCGGGTAATGTCTCCTGGGTGCCACAATGGTCTGGGGAAAGTCAAATGTTTTTAACAGCTTCATTAAGGATCAGAAAGAGGAAGCAAATGCCCCGTAGTTTAAATTATAGATAATGAAGTGATATGATGACTTATGAACACTGGCAAATAGCCAAAGGCAATGTAGAGAGGGCACAAAGAGAGGCTATATATAATATATATATTAAAAAAACAGGGCGAGAGAGAAAAATATATACAGGAAAGAGCCAACAGAGGATGGCTTAAAAAGCTGTGTTAGAGAACTGCAGAGGAAAGCACATAACAAGTCAGGCAGGAACTGCAGTGGAATAAAACCACAACAAAATGCCAACACAGTGCTGAAGCAGAGCACACAAATCTGTGCAGCCCGGAACGCTACATGCAAATCTGAGCCGAGAATAGCACTGCCAGTGACCACGGCTCTGACAGGACCAGAGCAAAGCTCTGCTAGCGACTATGAAGGCAGGAAAGAGAATATGGGATGTAAAGCTCGGTAAGCAGAAGGGACTAAATGCAAAGTCTGGCAGAGCTGACTCGGATTTGCCCCCCGGGGGCACAACAGCTGGGGGGCTGACGTGGAATTAACTCTGCTGCAGGAACTATCCTGAAGTTGCTTCCGCAGAGTCCTATTCAGGAACGATTAGCGAACTCACAAGATGTGCTAATTAGCATGATACCAAAGAAATCCCGGGCTCCTGTGGGCAGCTATGTAATGCTACCTCATTCATCAATTTAATCTGAAAGCCCTCATCCTCCACCACTGCTCCTGAAGGCTGCTTCCAGTTTTCACTCCTCTGGCAGCCCGAGTTATAAAACCACATTTTCCCAAGATGAAATGAGTTTATCCTGACCACACACAGACAGCTGTCCTCCCAGGTTTCTACCCTCCTCAGCAGGTTTACAGCAGGAATTTTAGGAATCCTCCCGCTTCCTTTTCACCAAGCCGAACAAGCCGATGTCTCCTAGTCTGCTTTGGAAGAAGGGCTCCCAGCTCCCCAGATCACAAACAACTGGAAGCGTCAGGTTCCAGAGGTGTTACACCCCAAAACTCACACTTTTCCTGCTCTGGGAACAGCCTGAGACTGCTCTCACCACTGAGGACCATCTTTAAGAGCAATACAGGATAAAGCCAGGCTGAGCACCCAGAAAGGCTCAGCCATGTTGCAGCGTTCAGCCCGTGGTCTGCAGCTGCTCGGGGGAACCGCATTCCCTCTGGCGTCGCAGTCGAAACTGATGCCTGGTGGTGGGAAGCAAAAGCAGCCCTACCACTCCTTTGACTGTGGATATTTCAGAGCAGAAGCAAGAGTGAGGAATAGCACCAAAGACAATTATTAGCCAAAAGATAATTTGGAGAATTCTGTGACAACAGGAAGAGGTTTTGGATTATGAGGGAGCTCTTCCAACCACGTATAACTGGGTGCATGACTGGCTCTCAGAAGAGCACCCCAAGCTGGTCTCCCCAAGACAACTCTGCTTTCTAGCACATCACAGCACACTCCCTTGCTCCAGTCCAACCTTTTCATGGCAGCAGCCCCAACGCTCATTTCAGGACATCTGCAGGCTGCACAGATACAGCTCCAGTTGATTGCGGAGACAAGCACCACGCTGTGCCCAGGCTCTTGGAGGGACAGGCAGTGGCTGGGAACAAGCCCTGGATTTGGGGACTTTTTCAGGTGAAATCACTTCTGGCTGAGGATGTCACCAATTCTTTTCTTAGCCTCTAGAGAGTCTGGGGATGGCCCACCATGTCTTTGCTTTGCTGAACTGCTGCCCAGGCCAGAACCAGACACCCCATCGCAGACAGAACTCCAGTACAGACAGACATTAAATCCCACCCATGATGGTCACCCATGCTCCAAGGTGCTCCACATCCTCCAGAAACAAGGCAGCACACAACATGGAACTGGTGACCAACCAGCATCAGCCCAGCAGCAAGCTGAATCGGTGCATGCAGCAGTAAATAACCATGCAAACTAACTACGCTGATCTACACAGAAAATATTTGGTTGTTTCCTGTTCGACAGTGACCTCAGTGCTCTCATCAGGAAAGCCGCACGCTCAGGGCTGGATGTTGCTCTGACGGCCACACAACAAGCTTCTAGGAGCATGATGAGTTGCCATCAAGCCTCTGGTGCAGAAGCAGCTCCACAGTCCTGCCCCAGAGCAAGGGAGCAGTTCCGCAGCACAGCCTGCCTGGAGGGGAAGGATGGGGGAACCCATCTGAGATCCTGGGGTGGGGGTGAGAGGGAACAGAAAGCTTTTCTAGGGCAATTTCCTCCAGCCAACCCATTTCTGAGTCACTCATCTATTTACACTTGTGAGAACAGATCTGAATATATACTAGAGGCAGTGTTTATCTGCACCGAGCCGTTGCTTTGCTTCTAGGGCACACAGCTTCAAGTGCCCAGAGACGCTTTTTCATTTTCTCAGCACACATACTGTGGCCTTCAGTTTCTTTATTAGCAGTCTTTGAGAATGACAGTGCTGCTGACATTATAGTCTGGCTGGCTTTATTTTAAAAACATACGATATACATATAGCATTGTCATGGCAACTGCTAATTATGGTAATTGCTGCACATGCTGATTCTAAACACAAGAGGGTACAAGCATCCCATTACACCAAGGTCAACTGATTACTTTTTTTTTCTTTTTGGAACAGATGACTCCAAGACATAAGGAGCCATGCTTCATCCACACTAAACAGAGGAGGAGAACACAGAACAGCCAATCTGCATTCATCCTTGCTCACCCCCAGCTCTCCGCACCCAAGGGTGGCACTTGGAGAACATCACCCAACACCCCAGCTCCAGCCAGGTTCCCCGCCAAGGACCCAGCCTCGCCACTGCTGGTGCAGCTTCAGGCAGTCCCTTTCCTAATTCATCTTGGGGAACCAAGGCTTTATCACCACCCTGCCCCACTGCCTTACAGTCTGTGCAAACAAACCTACCCGCACAGAAATGCGGAGGTGGCACTTCCTCTAACAGCCCTGTCTTTCCAGAGGGGTGAGCAGGGCTCACACACAGCTGAGCCACAGACACGGCAGCAGTTCATTGCATTTGGGATTTTCCATCTCCTGCCTTTTGGAAAAGATCTGTAGCCTCCTCCCCAAGGCTTTGAGATCCAAAGGAGAAGCAGCAGTTGGATGTTTAAATAAATACTGCTTCAGGAGGCTTCCAGGAAAGGTGACAACCAGAAGGAAGAGCAGTGGAGGAGGCTTCTTGAGTCACCACACGAGATTTGGTCAGGGGGAACTCTAACCCACCACGTGGAGACTTCCTGACCACAGAGCTGAGACTGGGTGAGGACCAAGAGGGAGAAGAGAGACAGGCAGGAGACACTGATGTGTTTAGGTCTGAAACACGAGCATAGCACAGCAAGCACCAGCTCAGGAAGCAGCTATTGTCAGAGGACTGTCAGCCCAGGCAACACTTCTAAGACGCTGAAGCACCACACAATGGAAGAAGGACCCAATCAAATTACCTGCAAGGTCTCTGCATCCGGTGCTGTCTGCTCCTCCAAGGCAACATCAAAAAACAGCTTATTGATGATGTGTCTTTTGCTGACCTAAACACAGGAGACAGAAGAGGTTGATGGGCACAGATGTGGAAACCCAATGGATATGGAAGACAGTCAGCGAGGGAGAAGGCACCGCCTTGTCACAAGGCCACGAAAGGCAAGTCAGATCACATGCTCGACACCATTAGCAACGATGCTCTGCTTTGGCTCATCAGCACATCAGCAGCCCCCCTACTCAGTTTTGAGAGTGCGACTCCAGCCAAGCTCCTGAGCCTCAGCAGAAAGATTCAGGCATTTCTGAATCAAGCGCAGTCTGTTCTCTGGCAGCTAAGGCCCAAGCAGCTGACGCTGAGCTAACATGATGCCAAATCCTAAGACAGAAGTACGTGCTGCTTTCTGCAGGCAGAAGGTGCTGTAATTGAATTTGATAGCTCTCCACACCTCCCCCATGCAGCTACAGCTTTGTGTTTTAAGTATTATATACAGTCATGACACCAGCTAATTGCATAGTTACTGCTACATAAGATGTTATTTCGCGATAACTCCATGGTAACCCAGAGATGTAAGAGGCAGCGAAGAACAGAGGGAATCAACAAGTCAGGGAAGGAACTAAGGGCCAAGACCTTGAGAGGAAGAAAGAAGCATGAACACAGAACAAGCCCAAGCTGCAGCTGGCTAAAAGCCTGCACTGAGTCTGAGGCAACATCGCCTGCAGCCACTACACGCCAAGGCCTACTGCCGGCACCGAGGCTGGTGACACAAGGGACTTCAAAGAAGTTCAGGTTCTGATTAAGGCACTGGATGCCCAAGCCTTGGCTTCCCCACTCAGAAGCAGAGCACATCCTTCCTTCCCTCCCCAGCCTTTGCTTTTCTCAAAGGGCTGAGTGCTGCAGAGGAAGGACTGAGCTATCCCGTCCAGGTGCAGAGGTGAGCAGCAGGGTACTCTAGAAATGCAGCTCTGACGTCCCCATTAACCCCTTTCAGCTCTTTCTATCATTACACCAACACTTACTTGGCCTAAATAAAAGCCGTGAAAAATCTAGAGAGCCTTCCTAGAGAAGTGACGATATGGACAGCGGCAGGGCACCCTTGGACCACCCCTTCTGAGCAGGAGGGTGGCTGAGGGGAGCTCACCCTCTGAGCCTTTGGGGAGAGAAAGTTCTCTCCATTCCACAAACTTCTTCCTTGCATCACCACAGGCCCAGACCACAGCTCCCAGGTGCCCTTTAGCAGAGCATCGTGCCATAGAAATGCAGCGGTGTACAGAGGGGATGGTTTTACCTGGATCCTGCACTGCGGGCAAGTCCGGCTCGGTGCTGTGTCAAACCACTGAGTGAGACTGAAAGGAAAAGAAAACATACAGTAAATCCTTAAAAATCCGTGAGTGCTGCTCCCACGGGCCACCCCCCAACTCACCAGGAGTCCAAAGGATGTGACACCTTTTTACAAACTGAAAACAGAAGGGCAAGCATTTCATTCCAGAGGTGCAGCTAACAGGAACGCCATGTTCCAGCAGGTGCACTCTGCCTTCGCCTCTGAGACAATTCCCAGCTGAATTTAGTGTGCAAGCTTATCTTTACCAGGGCAGAGTTTTTACAGAGCTCAGATCTCCCTGGGAGAGAGTCTTTAAACAACTGTAGCTTCGCAGGAGCGAACGGATCCACACGCAGAGCAGCACAAGAGCTGCTATATCAGGATCTGACAGCTGAAAGATCCCCAGTTTGGTCAGCCCCAAAGGGTGCCACTGACACCGAACACCCACTGGGGGGGGGCCGGGCCGGTCTCTGCTCCGAGCCGATGAATGCAAACCTGTCGGACTTCCCAGGAGAGCTGCTAATGCATTTTGCAACCAAGCCATCACGTCACCCTTCGAAGGTTTATTTTTGGAGCAGGGTAACAATCTGGAGCTGGCAGGTTACCTCTGGAAGCTCTCCCT